CTCGCTCAGCCAGTGAGCGGGAACCGGTCTGTATGTGGGGTCCGAACCCTCGGCGGGAGCGCCGCCGCGTTCCCAAGCAGCGCACTGTAGCAGTGTGCCACCGGGCCGGCCCAACTAGAAAAATTTTAAAACTGCGTAGGAAGTGAAAGCTTCCCCAAATTCTACCCATGCCAGAATTAGTCTTATTTATTGATTTGAAAAACAAAATTGCGTACGTGTTTCATGACTGCTTTTATCTTTTTTGCTGAATCTTTATGTGTTTATATCTATGTGTTTTCCTATGTTAGTAATGTAGGGCTACCTTATCCTTTTAATGCCTACATTGTTTTTTATACTCTATAGGTATTATGGTTTATTCATTCACACTATTTGTTGAAACCTACGTATTTTTTTTTTATTATTAGGAAATGTTGTACCATTGAACATCTTTCATACGTGTATCTTTGCATACTTGCCGTGAGTTTCTGTAGCATAAGAAGTGGAATTAGTCATAGAATTTACACATTTATAGCTTTAAAAGATCCACAGAAGATGCGATTAATAGACCCTACTACCAATAGTGAACAAGACTGCCTTTTCCCCTTCTGCTAACACTAGGTTTTACTAAGTTTTGACATAGTAGCATACCTTTTTTTTTTTTTTTTTTTTTTTTTAAAGATGATCAGTAAGGGGATCTTAACCCTTGGCTTGGTTTTGTCAGCACCACACTTAATCATTGAGCTAACCGGCCATCCCTTTATAGGATCCAAACCCATGGCCTTGGTGTTATCAGCACTGCACTCTCCCGAATGAGCCACGGGCAGGCCCTAGCACACCTTGTTTTATTGCACTTTGCAGATACTGCATTTCTTACAAATTGAAGTTTTGTAGCAACCCTGCACCAAGTCTGTCAGCAGTGCCGCTTTTCTAATAGCATGTGCTCATTTTGTGTCTCTGTCACATTTTGGTAATTCTCACAACATTTCAGTCTTTTCCATTATTACATCTGTTATGGTAATCTCTGTGATGTTACTATTTTAATTGTTTTGGGGTGCCACAAACCGCACTTAACATAAGATGGTGAGCTTAATCGATAAATGTTGTGTGTGTTCTGACTGCTCTACCAGCTGGCTGTTTCCCTGTCTCTATTCCCTGAGACACAACAGTTCTGAAATTAGGCCAATTAATAACCCTACAGTGGCCCCGAAGTGTTCAAGGGAAAGAAATATTTAACTTTAAATCAAATATCTCACTTTAAATCAAAAGCTAGAAATGATTAAGTTTAGTGAGAAAGGCACGTTGAAAACCAAGATAGACCCAAAAACTAGGCCTCTTGCTCCAGTTAACCAAGTTGCAAATGCAAAGAAAACCTTGAAGGAAATTAAAAGCAGCAAACACATGAGTGTAAGGAAGTGAAACAGGCTTATTGCTGATAGGGAGAAGGTTTATAGTGGTCTGAATAGGAAATTAAACCAGCCACAACATTCCCTTAAGCCAAAGCCTAATTCAGAGTAGGGCCCAAGCTCTCTCCAGTTCTGTGAAGATTGAGAGGTGGGGAAGCTACAGAAGAAAAGTTTGAAAGCTAGCCTTTGCTTCATGCCTCTGATTCATGAGGTTTAAGGAAAGAAGCTGTTTTCATAACACAAAAGTGCAAGGTGAAGCAGCCCGTGCTGCTGTAGAAGCTGCAGCAGGTTATTCAGAAGATGGAGGAGCTAAGATCTGATGAAGGTGGTCGCACTAAACAAGATTCTGTGTTTAGACAGAGCAGCCTTATACTGGAAGAAGATGAAGCTATCTAGGACTTTTTTAGCTAGAGAGAAGTTAATACCTGGCTTCTAAGGACAGGCTCACTTTGTTAGGGACTAATGCAGCTGGTGACTTTACGTTGAAGCCAGTGTTCATTTAGTATTCTGAAAATCCTAGGGTCCTTAAGAATTATGCTAAATCTACTCTGCCTGTGCTCTATAAATGGGAAAACGAAGCCTGGATGACAGCACATCTGTTCACAGCATGGTTTGCTGAATATTTTAAGCTCACTTTTGAGACTTACTGCTAAGAAAAAAAGATTATTTTCAAAATATTACTGTTCATTAATAATGTACCTGGTCAGTCAAGAGCTCTGATGGAGATGTACGAGGAGATTGATGTTGTTTTCAGGCCTGCTGACAAAACATCTGTTTTGTAGCCCGTGGATCAAGGAGTAATTTTGACTTTCCAGACTTACTTTCAAGTCTTATTATTTAAAAACTACATTTTATAAAGGCTATAGCTGCCATAGATAGTGATTCGTCCGATGAATCTGGGCAAAGTAAATGGAAAACCTTCTGGAAAGGATTCACCTTTCTAGATACCCTTAAGAACATTTGTGATGCATGGGGAGGAGATCAAAATATCAACATTAATAGGAGTTTGGAAAAGTTGATCTTAACCCTCATGGATGACTTTGAGGGGTTCAAACTTCATTGGAAGAAGTAACTGCAGATGTGGTGGAACTAGCAAGAGAACTAGAATTAGAAGTGGAGCTTGAAGATGTGACTGAACTGCTGCAATCTCATGGTAAAACTTGAACGGATGAGGAATTGCTGTTTATGGGTGAGCGGAGGAAGTGATTTCTTGAGATGGAATCTAGGAATCTAGTCCTGGTGAAGGTGATGTGAACATTATTGAAGTGACAACAAAGGATTTAGAAGATTACATAAACTTAATTGATAAAGCAGCAACAGGATTTGACAGGATTGACTCCAATTTTGAAAGAAGTTCTATTGTGGGTAATAGCATATTATGTAATAATATACTAATAGTGTTTCATGCTACAGAGAAATCTTTTGTGAAAGAGTCAATTGAAGCGGCAAACTTCATTGTTGTGTTATCTTAAAAAAATGTCACAGCCACCCCCACCTTCAGCAACCACCACCCCTATTAGTCAGTACCCATCAACATCAAGGCAAGACCCTCCATCAGCAAAAAGATTATGACTCACTAAAGGCTCAGGTGATTGTTAGCATCATTTTAGCAATAAGGTGTTTTTAAAATAAGGTCATAGCTTCCTTTCACATTGTTTTTTTTTAGACAATGCAATTGCACACTTAATAGACTAGTATAAACATAACATATATTCACTGGGAAACCAGAAAATTGTGTGACTTGCTTTGTTGCAGTGGTCTGGAACTGAACCCACAATATCTCTGAGGTATACTTGTATTTTAGTCCAACTTCTTGAGTAAGTTTGAATATTATGTTTTATAATGGCTTAAATGCTCCTGATTTGGTGTCTATTTGTTTCATTTAGAGAAGGGGGGCTTTTATTATATGTTAGCTTCAGTATTTCTTTTCTTTTCTTTTTTTTTTTTTTGGTGGCTGGCTGGAATGGGGATCTGAACCCATGGCCTTGGTGTTATAAGGCTGTGCTCTAACCAGCTGAGCTAACCAGCCGCCTGATTCAGTACTTCTGCACATTTCATCGACCTGCTTTCTTTAGTATGTGTGAGCAGTGTTATTTTTTCTGTGCTATACAAATATTTGAAGGTTAATTAGCAGTATAACTATAAATAGTAATGCTGCCAGTCTCCTTCAGACAAAAATTTATAAACGTGGTTATATGTATTAGTTGTAAGTAGCAGGTCTTTAGAAATATGTGACCATTTAGGTTTTTTGTTTTATGACATGGATTTGAAAAGATTGTATGTCTGAGGAGGAGTATAACGTGATGGGTCAAAGCATAGGGTTTGGAGTTGATAGCTTGGGGATGTATTATTAGCATAATTTCTCTGAGCTTAAGTTTTTCCTCTGAAAAATGGGTATAATTTCTAGTTATCATGGCTGTCATGAGATCACACAGGTGCTGAATAAATGGTAGCTATTATTACTAACCCTATGTTTTTTGCAGGTGGCACAGATTTATCAGAGCATTGAGTTTTCTCGTTTGACTTCTCTGGTTCCTTTTGTTGATGCTTTCCAACTGGAACGGGCCATAGTCGATGCAGCCAGGCACTGTGACCTGCAGGTATGTGCTGTAAAGGGACACTGAGGCTGAAGGCCTTGAGAACTAGAAAGATACATATTCTTTGTTTTTCAGCTTTTGGTACAGTGGCCCCATTTAAAAGTTTTACTGAGTGAATCTTCTAGGTTTTTGTATTTAACATTCTTGTGTTAATTTTTTTCAAATTCAGTTTTAATTTTTTTTTCAAAAGCCGTATTTATTTGTAGAATGACTTCATGTTTACATGTAGATTTAACTATTGATAATTTAATTTTCAAAGGTTCGTATTGACCACACTTCTCGGACCCTGAGTTTTGGCTCCGATTTGAATTATGCTACACGAGAAGATGCTCCAATTGGTCCTCATTTGCAAAGCATGCCTTCAGAACAGATAAGAAATCAGCTGACAGCCATGTCCTCAGTACTTGCAAAAGCACTTGAAGTCATTAAGCCAGCGCATATTCTGGTATGCATCTTTGGCGGGGAAATGAATTACAGAATTTTTGAGGGACTCTTACACCATGTCTTTCACGAAAAAGGTTTGAGATGATATCTGAGAGAAGGGATTTATTATAATTTCCTATTAAGTTGTGCTTGGTAGTTTCATTATGTTATCAAATACACACATCATTGAGCTGTCTTTCATGGAATAAAATACTACCCTCCACAGGCAGTGTAATACTACGGATTGTGTTATGTAAGACAGACTGCAAGTGTCATGACCTCTAAAATAGTGGAGTACAGTGGTTTGGCTTTTCCTTTCTACTTAAGTTATTTCTTGTTTGTGAGTTCCTTGGCTTGAACACTTAGGATTTGGTAGAGATTTGGTATAGAGAAAAGTTGGCTTAGTGAATAGAGATCCTTTAGCTATGTACTTGCTCTTGAGAGACTGAATAGGAGTAGTGCCACAGCTTTTGGTAACAAATGAATAGCCATCCTCTGTTACTACATGCAAACACACAGAGGTCAGTGTATCAGGATTATTTTGTAATTTCTTTGCTGCCTAATACCAGGGTGTGTTACTTTCAATCAATTTTGAAAATGCATTTGTTTCTGAAGCAAGAGAAAGAAGAACAGCATCAGTTGGCTGTTACTGCATACCTTAAAAATTCACGAAAAGAGCATCAACGTATCTTGGCTCGCCGTCAGACAATTGAGGAAAGGAAAGAGCGGCTTGAGAGTCTGAATATTCAACGTGAGAAAGAAGAATTGGAACAGAGGGAAGCAGAACTCCAGAAAGTACGGAAAGCTGAAGAAGAGAGGCTGCGCCAGGAGGCAAAGGAGAGAGAGAAGGAGCGTATCTTGCAGGAACATGAACAAATCAAAAAGAAAACAGTTCGTGAGCGTTTGGAGCAGATCAAGAAAACGGAACTGGGTGCCAAAGCCTTCAAAGATATTGACATTGAAGTATGTAGCATAATACCCATGAAAAATGTATTTTTATCCAGGTCTTCTGTACTCTTAGAACCATGGTCCTTTACCATTTGTCGGTTTCTTTTGGGTTATTTTGTTATTTCACACATTTTGGCACATCTGGTTCAGTGACTAAATCTGAGAAAAAGCATTTTTAATTGTCCTGTACAGTTTTTTTTTTTCCTTTTTGTCTTATTTCGTGTCCGGCAACGGATCGCAACCCTCCGTGTCGCGCCCGTACTGGGCCGGGACCGGCAACGGGATCGCAACCCTCGGTGCCGCGCCCGCACCTCGCTCAGCCAGTGAGCGGGAACCGGTCTTTATGTGAGATCCGAACCCTTGGCGGGAGCGCCGCTGCGCTCCCAAGTGGCGCACTGTAGCAATGCGCCACCGGGCCGGCCCATTGTCCTGTACAGTTTTTAACCACTGTATATTCATCACAGTAGTAAAGTTTGGGTAGATGTAGACTGGAGGAGTGAGAAATACGTGGTAAAATCATGTATATATTTTTTTCTCTACATTCAAGTATAGAAATAAGGTGATCGTACAATATTTTTACATTTCCTGAATAATACCCATTGTAAAAATTTAGGATTTGATTCTGGAAAGCAGTGAGCTAGTTTGACTGTTAGGCATTTCTTTTATATTCTTATTAATATTGTTGCATTTGTATTACCTCTCAGGACCTTGAAGAATTGGATCCAGATTTTATCATGGCTAAACAGGTTGAACAACTGGAGAAGGAAAAGAAGGAACTTCAAGAACGCCTAAAGAATCAAGAAAAGAAGGTAAATGAAAGGACTAGTAAACTTTTAGTATACCAAGTAAAAAGATTTTCTAAAAAGCTACATTTGTTTTCATTTCATTCAGATTGACTATTTTGAAAGAGCTAAACGTCTGGAAGAAATTCCATTGATAAAGAGTGCTTATGAGGAACAGAGAATTAAAGACATGGATCTGTGGGAACAACAAGAAGAAGAAAGAGTAAGTTTTCCATGTAGTTGTAATGTTTTAGGCTGTAAACTATAATTGAATCCTCTGCCAACAGTGGGACCAGAGTTTCAAAATTAATTTTTGTATTTTGCTAGAAACAGTGCTTAGAATGGTAGAAAGACATTTTCACGTTAGAAATTAAAAATGAAACTTGTAAAACAGAGGACAGCTGAAAAGCCCATTTAAAAAAAAAAACATTTTTATTATTATTATTTTTTTTGTCTTTTTGTCTTTTTTCCGTGTCCGGCAACGGATCGCAACCCTCAGTGTTGCCCCCGTACCGGACCGGGGACCGGCAACGGGATCGCAAACCTCGGTGTTGCTCCCGCGCCTCGCTCAGCCAGTGAGCGGGAACCGGTCTGTATGTGGGATCCGAACCCTTGGGCGGGAGTGCCGCCACGCTTCCCAAGCGGCGCACTATCCAGTGTGCAACCGGGCCAGCCCCCTAAAAAAAAATTTTTATGTACACTTTAAATGGGTGAATTGTATGGCATGTGTATACAGCTCATGATTTTTAGAGTATTTACAGAATTGTGCAAATTTTGCCACAATCTAATTTTAGAACACAGCCAAAAAAGAAAATCTGTACCCATTAGCAGTCACTCCCCATTTCTTCCTCTACACTTGAGCCTTAGTCAACCACTAATCTGTTTTCTGTCTCTAGATTTTCCTGTTTTGGACATTTCATATAAACGGAACCATGTAGTATGTGGTCTTTGTGACTAAACAGCTCATTCTATAATTTTATTAGTCTATATTATATTCACCTGATGATACAAATGTTTGTAGGACCAATAAATGAATGAACTGATTGTGGTTAAAAAAAAAAAAAAAAAAAAGTAGCCATAAGCAGTGGCATACCTCTTCTGGGATCACAGCAAGGAGAATGCAACCTCCTCTTGGTTCCATCTGATTGTTGTCATCTGGAGATTATGGGCCTAGTGTTGCAACTTCTTCCAGTTTTTTAAGGAACTAAGTTGGAATTTTATGATAACTCTCTTAATATGTAAACATTTGAAATTAACTAGGGAAAGAAAAGTGCTGTAGACCAAATGAAATAATTGGAATGAACCTGAACCCTTCTGTTTTTTCATTTAGGGCACAAAATAAAAAGCCTTAATATCATCCTACCTTAACCTCCAGATGTTTTTAAGTAGGGAAATGCTTTTAAAAATTAAACCATAGTGCTTATTACCATGTGGTATTATTTTGTTTTACCATGTACATTATAGTTTTTTCTTTATGGAAATTTATAGTACCATGGGGCTAAATAGAAACTCATTTATAGATGCCCAGGGATTACTTTATCCACTTCTTGTCCCTAATTTCCTTCCTGAGATCTGTTGGCATGGAAGATAGTTACCCTTGCACTTCGTGTGCTGTTTATAATTTTTTAAGAATATCTGTCAGTAATTTGGGTAAATTAGTAATCAAATAAATTATTTGAAATTTAACTGTATATTATGTACTTTCAGATTACTACTATGCAGCTAGAACGTGAAAAAGCTCTTGAACATAAGAATCGTATGTCACGAATGCTGGAAGACAGAGATTTATTTGTAATGCGACTCAAAGCTGCACGGCAGTCTGTTTATGAGGTGAGCTTATTGGTTTTAGGGAAAAGTTTATTCATGAGCTTTTAAGTTTTGCCTTAAGGATTCTCTTTTAACACAGTGGTATGTTCTGTCTTGAGTTAACATATATAATGGTCATTCAGATAACATTTTAACAAATTTTTGGAAAATATCTTGTAAGCTAAATAGTCACCTATCTAAACAGATTTTTCTAAAGGTGAAAATTAGTTGACTGCATAGTCTCTTTTGATCCAAGCTTTTGTTTACTGTTTGATTCAGTAATGAAAAAACACTTGATTGAAGTGTCTTAGCCTTAAGTTGTTATTTAATCATTTGATTTTATAAGATAAATCCACTGAGTGTAGATAATATCAGTAATTTGAATTTTTAAAAATTTGGCATGCTAATAAAGTTTCAATAGTTGTATGGAAATTCTGGTTTTTGTACTTGGAGTTTGCTTTCTCTGGTTCCAAGAAATTTGGAAGTCTTTTGTAAACCTAAAAGCTCATTGCTCTTGAAAAAAAAA